GTGCACAATTAGTACCCATAGGAATTCCTATGATCTGTTTAAATAGGGTATTACCAAACCTGACATAAATGTTGTCTAAAAGAAAAGAGAGTGCTCTACAAACTTCGTCACAGGTCCACATAGTATAATGTTTAACAATACCGTTTAACTTAGTAAAAAAAGCTTTGTTCGAATTACATGCTAGAAAGGTAACTTTTTCCCGTGCAAAAGTTTTCTGAATTAGGGAAATTAGTTTATCATTGATTAATTTATGTGGCAAAGTTGTATAAAGTGTAGAAAAATCGTATGTACTGACAGTTGAAGCTTGAAAGTTATTAATTTTGAATTTATCCAAGATTTCACTAGAATTTTTAATTGACCAAAAGAGATGTTTGCCTGTGTTTTCATAGACTTTATCACAATATCTAATTACATGTGTTTTAATGGCAGTCAAACAAGACGTCAATAAAATAGAAAGTTTACTTGTAGTGCAAGATGTAGAATTAGCAATAAATCTGGCTTTGTAAGGTTTTTTATGTAATTTAGGAATCCAATACATAATAGGAAGTTTGAGTTCTTTTTCATTAATTTGGACTTTAAGATTAGAAATATTAGTAATATGATTGTTTACAATGTCTTTTTCGGAGGCAGAGGTTTTAGAATACGCATTAGTGCTATTTAGTTCCTTATGCAAAACGTTAATGTAATGGATTCGTCAAACAATTATAATATTATTAGCCGCCTTGTCCGCTGGCACCAAAACAAATTTTGAATGAAAAGCTAGAATATCTTTTTTCAGATGTCTTAAAGTAAGTCTTGGTTTAGGTGGCAAAAGATGTTCATTTCCACGATAAAAATTAATACGTGAATCAATAATTTTAAAGATGTTACGTTTCCATGTAACTAGAGCATTACTATCCGCATTTTCACGGCGACACCATTTGACCGAAAAATCCTCTATAGATTCAGCAATCTGACCACGACAAGCATTAAAATCAATCTCAGAAGGAATTCTGTATTTAGGTCCTTTCAAGAATAAGTTACGAATTCTTTTGTCTGCAATTATATCAAAATTACCAGTGATTATATGGCCAAAATCTGAATTACAGAATTTAGAAGTATTGCAGTCTCAAGTTGTTGGAGTATTAGACTGAATATCTAAGTCAGAAACCACTTTGTTGTAATTAAATATGATATTTCTAACAGGTTTCTTATATTTATAGCAAATAATTGGTATCTCGGAGTTTTTGAAGTATAAAGGAACTGAATTAGTAACACGTTTATCACGAAAAATACTTGGTAAATCGATGAAATCGATACCTTTATTAAGAAAGGTTACTTTTAGGAAATGCCTGTTGTGGTCAGAAGTGTTGTCGATATAAACCCATAAACCTAAATGTTGTTATGTCTATATAGCAATATATTAAATTCTGGAAACAGAGTGATCCCTCGGAAGCACCAATCACAACAAGTCAACCTTTCCTTATACAAAGTGCACTCATTAATATATTATGTGGATCCATCTTTATATGTAGTCAACTGAACAATATATGATGTCAACGTACCTTTATATGATGTCAATCTATCATTATACGATGTGCAATTTTGAATATATTATGTCGAGCCATCCTTATATAAGGTCAAAATAACAATATATGATGTCAATCTGTCCTTATATGATGTCAGTCTGCCATTATATGATGTGAAGTTATGAATATATTATGTGGAATAATTCTTATATAGAGTCAGCATTATATGATGTCAACGCGTCCTTATATGATGTCAATCTATCATTATACGATGTGCATTTTTTAGTATATTAAGTGAAACCATCCTTATATAGAGTAATAATAACAATATATTATGTCAATACGTCCTTATATGGTGTCAGTCTTTCATTATATGATGTGCAATTACGAATATATTATGTGGAATCATTCTTATATAGAGTCAAAACAACATTATATTATGTAGAACCGTCTTTATATAGAGTCAACTTAACATTATATGATGTCAACATGTCCTTATATGATGTCAGTCTCTCATTATACGATGTGCATTAATGAATATATTATGTGGTACCGTCTTTATATAGAGTCAACTTAACATTATATGATGTCAACATGTCCTTATATGATGTCAGTCTTTCATTATACGATGTGCATTAATGAATATATTATGTGGAACCGTCTTTATATAGAGTCAACTTAATTCTGTATTTATCTATTTTAACATAACCCGGTAAATTTAACCCCATCAGTATAATGACAGAAGCACACTATATAAAGATGTTTGCACTTCATATAAAGCAGCGGTCGTATAACAATAGATGCACATCGTATAATGAAAGATTCACATAGTATATTGATAAGTTGACTGTATATAATGATGCAACCACATGATATATTAATATATGCACATCGTATAATAATAGATGCACATCGTATAATGAAAGATTGACATAATATATTGATAAGTTGACTGTATATAATGATTCTACCACATCATATATTCATAAATGCACATCGTATAATGATTGGTCGACATCATATAAAGACACATTGACATCATATATTGTCCAGTTGACTTCATATAAGGATGCATCTACATAATATAATCATGAGTGCACATTGTATAAAGAAAGAGTGACACAACAACGTTCATTTTTATAATCATAAGACAGTCAAGGCTTTCCATATGTATAGCTTGGTCAAGGTGGGCATACTTGATTTCTTGTCTCCGTTAGTCATCTTGATGGTGTGTCAAATTTCGTATGCAATCGTGGGATCCAGCACCACGGCTAACAAGTCAGGCTTCCATACTCCTTGCTTGCCATTTGTGGTTGACTTGAGTAGGGGCTCATGTGAAAAGAGCCAGCCTGCGCCATTGCATATTTTACGCCACAACATCACCACTCATGTTGTTTCTCTTTATCCTATACCCCTTAACTTTCGGGCACCATCAGAAGATGGATCCTAAGGTCTCTACCATCATTTTGCAATGCCAGGAGGCAGTGTCTCCTTTGTGGCCGACAAGTGTGGCTCTGCAGGGATACGTGTCGGTCCTCAATTTAGCCTCCACTGCAAAGTCCGCTTCCCCGTAATACTGAGCGTAACAGTTCAGCAAGGAGTTGAACTGCTTGTACAAGAAAAATAGGTGATTTTGTCCAACCGTCTTGAGCCTCTTCCATTCTGACGTTAGTTTCTTACTTCATTGGACTTTGGTCTTTGGGTTGATTGTCCCGCCTTTGCTGTTTCTGATTTTTCGTCATTCGAGCGAGCTACCAGTAGCAGCATATTGATGCGTGCCTCCAGCGCCGAAAATTCCAACATTGGAAGCCTAGGCCTCCCTTCCCTTTCGACTCGTAGAAAAGAGCGTTTGGCATACACTCTGGTAGCTTATGTAGGATTTCAGTACCCTGTCTAGGTCCTTTAGGATTCAGTTTGGGTAGGTATTCTGGGTGAGCATGTCTTATTTATAGAAGTACCGTGTCACATTGAAGGTTCCATGATAACCGCCATATGAACACATCTGCGGATGTATCAAAATTCTAAATGTTACCAGTTCATGTTAAATGTTGAATTTTGCTTAAGCCGGTGCTAGGGGGCGTGGATTGTAACTTGCACTTTCCAGTACCGTCTATGAACAGGCTCAATCAAACCGAGCCTGCAACATTTTCAATTTTGCCGTGTTGGGCTTTCTTTAGGGATTCTGTATTTATCTATTTTATTTATAGCATTTCATGTTTCTATTTAATATATCCTTCAAAATGACGATGAGGATGTTCCACCTTGGACTTATAATTCCCCGGAAATAAATATTAACCTTTCAAATATAAAAAAGCATCAAATTCACCTGAATATTTCAAAGAGAATTTTCTAGCAATTAAGGAAGAACATGAAGATTTTATACATATGTAGTGGTGGGGTTTCTTCAGTAAAACAACAGTGTATGATGTTTACTATGTTTTTTTCAGGTATAGAAGAAACCTATAACAAAATAAATAGATTATAATACAAATAACAAAGAGAAATATAATACAATAGAAAATTCATGAATTGCATATTTCATAATTTACAATAATTACAATATATACATTATAAACATTTCACAATTACAATTAAAATAAATATATACATACCAGGCTTTAAATAGATGAGATCTAATTTAATAGTTATGAATGATAATCAAACTTATCAATATTTCTATGAAGAAATAGTATAATTATTTTGAATGTACGAGATGTTACTGCCTTGAATGCAATGAAAGGAGTGGTCAGTTACCAAATAATATAGATAAAATACAGAATCCCTAAAGAAAGCCAACACGGCAAAATTGAAAATGTTGCAGGCTCGGTTTGATTGAGCCTGTTCATGGACGGTAATGGAAATTGCAAGTTACCGTCCACGCCCCCTAGCACCGGCTTAAGCAGAATTCAACATTTATCATTCCAAGAAATATTAGCTATCCCAGAACCAAATCATCAAAAAAATAACTTGCATACCAAAACCAATCATCCATCACTCAACTTGCAAAACCAGTTCAATCACCCATAACAAAAGGAACAAAGACAAACATGAACACAAAACACCACAAAAGATTTAATTGGCCTTTAAGGGAAATAACTACCGTATTTATTATAAAAAGTGATCTTGGCTTAATTTAACCTTAACTACACACTCCCCCCTCTAGTTAAAAATGACTACGGCATTATCCTAAGCAACAATTATTAATGAAACCTGGATTTATGAAAAAAAATAAGATTATAATCAATTCGAAAAACAAAAATGCAATTCACTGTATATTCATATGACGACATAAATATATCATATTATTTAAGATATACTGCCATCCTATGACTATTTTGCAATAGTTAAACAGTAAAATATAAAGAAATATTGCAATACAGTAGAGTTGTCAATTCTACTTGAAAATAATAAATACATAGCCCATACCTCCATACATAGGACCCATGTGAAATTTAAAAGGACTGCATAAAATGAAACAACATTATACAACACTTATACCCATTCTCCATATCTATCTGGTGGATGTATCACACGTCTAGGGCGTGGGATAGGGCGTGAAGATGAAACGGGCGTATGTACTGGAATGACTGGAATAGTCACTGGAGTACTTGGTCTACTCACTGGAGTAACTGGTACACTTACTGAAGTAACTGGAACACTTACTGGAGTAACTGGAACACTTACTGGAGTAACTGGGATAGTTACTGGAGTAACTGGAACACTTACTTGAGAAACTGGAACACTTACTGGAGTAACTGGTACACTCACTGGAGTAACTGGGACATTGTCTGGGGAATATGTCACAGGATTGGGGTGAATCCTGGGAACAAATGAAGGGATAGAAATAGAAGGAGCATCAGAAGAATGTCCATAATAAAGGCGAGTATTGCGACTGCGAGTAACTGGAAATCTCCTCTGTGGTATGATGTATACACCAGATGATGATTCAGAAGAGCTAGAATCAGCATCATACTCTTTCTGTATAGGAACACGTCTAGGTTTTGGTTTAGGCTTAGTTTCAACAGGTAAATCTGTATCTTCTTCAGGGATAGAAATAAATGGAAGAAGCATATTTCTGTGAAGGGTTCTGACAGGACCTTTTCGAGACTCAAGTTGTACTTTATATACAGGTTGCTCAGGAAATGGTATGTCAATGATAACAAAAGGATCCTTCTCCCACTTATCTGCCAGCTTCTGTCGACCTTGAAGATTGACTTTTCGGACCAAAACAATATCGCCTACAACCAATTTGTTCTCGCGAACTCTACGGTCATATTGCTTCTTGTTTTGATCAGCCCGCTTCTTGGCAACATCGCCAGCTAACCGATAAGCATATTGAAGGCGTTCCTTCAAACGAGAAACATAAGTAGTAGGAGAAAGATGTTCAGAGTTAGAAGGAAAAGTACCAAGATTGGCATCAACAGAAAGACGGGGATGCCATCCAAACATAAGAATATGATAAACAAGATCAACAAGGAAAGGCGGCGTTCAATGAACGCAACCCCCACATGACCCAGCAACAAGAACCAATGGCAAGGAGCCCAGGGGGACCCCAAACAAAAACAGGACAGGGCAAAGACAGAGCACGGATAGGTTATTTATTAAATGATAATTAATTTGTAACTGATTAGGAATTCAAAGAAAATAAAAATAGGCCCACAAAGGGGAAGGGGACAGGAGACCGGGGGGGAGGGGGTGGGGAGTAATCAAAGAAATAAAAACTAGAGGCAATGGGGAAGATAAGATAGTGAGGAGAAAAGCCTGTCGAAGAGTTCTTGGTGGCGTTATAAGCCTGCACAAGTGAAGGAACAAAATCTGCCCACTTAGATTTGTCATCTTCTGCCAGAGTACCTAACATTCTGAGAAGGGTCCGATTAAATCGCTCCGCTGATGGATTTCCCATAGGGTGGAAAGGAGTGGTTCTTGTCTTTCGAACATTTCAATCTTGCAAAGTTCCTTGATGACTCGACTTTTAAAATTCCGCCCCTGGTCAGAATGCAGCTGCTCTGGAAAAGAAAAGTGGACAATAAAATGTTCATATAAGGCACGAGCAGTGGTAGTCGCCTTTTGATTACGGCAAGGAATAGCCTTGGCGTATCTGGTAAAATGGTCGGTAATGACCAAGACGTCCTCATACCCTCCTTTGGACTTCTCCAGCTTCAAGAAATCCATACACACAAGTTGCATGGGTCTTGAAGTCTGGATTGGAACCAATTCTGCGGCAGGTACAACCGGTGTCTTTCTGCAAATACAACTTTTGCAACCTGAAATGCGACTATTAAAATCTGCCTCCATGCCAGGCCAATAAAAACGTTGACGAGCTAACCATAGAGATTTATCACGTCCGGGATGGCCAACATTGTCATGAACACCAGTAAAAGCTATATTCCTATGAGAATAAGGAATAACAAGTTGTTGTACTTCTTCTCCATCCAGAGTGGCGGTACGATAAAGAACACCATCTTTAATAGAAAGACGAGAGAAGGCACGAAGAAGAGATTTGATGTCTTTCGACATCTCCTCGCCCCTTGGACTAGAACCAGAACGTAGGATGGAAAGAACAGAAGATATATCAGTGTCTTTAGACTGTTCTACCGCCCAATCCACTGGTCTGACTGCAGCTTCAGAAGGAAAAGATTCCTCATTGGCCATATGAGGGACCTCATCTCCCGAGCAACATTCAGCAGAAGAAAGAGAGACAGAAGCAGCAAAGCACACTGCCTTGACAGCATCGCTGAAGAGTTGTGGTCGGCGAGATAGCCCATCACAATCTTGATTCTGTTTGCCTGACTTATATATGATTTCAAAATCATAGGCAGACAAAGCAGCAATCCAACGATGACCTGTCGCGTCCAACTTAGCAGAGGACAGGACATAAGTTAAAGGGTTGTTGTCAGTAGAAACAAGAAATTGGTTGCCATAAAGATAGTCGTGAAACTTATCAAAGACAGCCCATTTCAAAGCTAAAAATTCAAGTTTATGAGCAGGGTAATTACGTACACAACGTCTTAAACCTCTGCTGGCATAAGCTATGACATGCTCTGAGCCATCCTGCTCTTGAAGTAACACGGCCCCTAATCCAGACCCACTCGCGTCGATATGGACTTTAAAGGGTTTACTGAAATATGAAAAACAAGATCAACAAGGAAAGGTGGCGTTCAATGAACGCAACCCCCATATGACCCAGCAACAAGAACCAATGGCAAGGAGCCCAGGCGGACCCCAAACATAAAAAGGACAAGTCAGCAAAAGCAAGAACAGGAGAAGTAAGTTTTTCCTTAAGAATATCAAAAGAAGATTGCTGGGCATCACCCCATACCCATATAGCAGTCTTTCTAGAACGCTTGGACTTAGATTTGGGAGAATTACCAGTAAGTCATTAAGGGGTTTGGCCAACTTGGAATAATCCTTATTAAATCTCCTGTAAAAACCTGCAGTTCCAAGAAATGTCCTTAATTCAGCAATGTTCTTAGGGACTGGCCAAGAAGAAATAGCAGAAGTTTTCTCAGGATCTGTAGAAATACCATTCTCAGAGATAACATGCCCTAAATAAGAAACGGACGTTTTGAAAAATTAACACTTAGAGCCTTTAAGTTTAAGACCATGAGAAGATAAACATTGAAAAACATTTTCAAGCCTAACAATATGCTCCTCAAAAGTTTCAGAAAAGACCAAAATGTCATCAACAAAAACAAGACATTCACGCAAAAGAAGGTCACCCATGGCACGTTCCATGACTCTCTGAAAAGTAGCACCTGAATTAACTAATCCAAAGGCAAGCCTATTGAATTCGTAAAATCCAAGATTACCAACAGAAAAAGCAGTATAGGGCTTTGAATCTTCCTCCATCTCAACTTGCCAGTAACCACTGCGTAAGTCAAGTTTAGAGAAAAATTTAGAACCCACTAAAAGGTCTACAGTGTCATCAAAGCGAGGAAGCATATAGGCATCTTTTCTTGTTCTTGAGTTAAGCAATCTAAAATCAATACAGAACCTAAATGAACCATCCTTTTTCCGAACAAGAACTACATTAGAAGAAAAAGGAGAGTCACTTGGCCTGATGGCACCGCAATAAATCATATCCTTAAGGTGCTGCCTCACCTCTTCATACATTCCAGGGGGAATTTTCCTGTAAGGCTGCTTAAAAGGGTGTCATCATTTAAAACAACTCTATGGCGTGTGTCAAAAGCTATCGATTTAGCATTGTCATACATAGCACAGCATACCCACGATAAATTTGTGATATTTTTTGACTCGCTTTCTGTTTTAATATCCATTAAAAATAAAAAATCTGACAATATCATGGTAAAGAAACTTCTTTTGCGATTTCATGATATACTAAAAACAAAATGTGTTAAATTATATTGAATTCCAAGCCATGTAGGAATACGAGGAAATGAAAAAGTAGATGCTTTAGCTAAGCAATCATTAAATTTTCAAAAAACTGACTTATTGTTACCTGCTTGTGATTTTAGACCGGCTATAAATAAACTCGTATCATCTGAATGGAAAGCAAATTGGGACAATGCCGTTTTTAATAAACTTCACGATATAAACCCATCTCTTGATATGTCAACATCTCTATCTCTGTCAAACTGCCGTGATCAAACAGTTCTTCTTCGATGCCGAATTGGACACACTAAAATTACCCACTCTTATCTCCTCACAAATGACAATGCCCCTTTCTGTGTAGGTTGTAATGAAAATTTTACTGTCAAGCATTTTCTTCTTGAGTGTCATGATTTTTCACAGGCCCGTAGTAGATTTTATTCTGTAAATCCACTCAAAGAACTTTTTAATACAATTACATCAAAAAACATAATTGATTATTTAAAAGAGATAAACTTGTATTCTAGGATCTAATTGGCTCATTTCTATTGTCATTTACAATGTTTTACATAATATTTTAAGCCTATTATAGCATTCGGCACGATATGGCCAGTTATGTGTTGACGTGCTGTAAAAATCCAAACAAACAAACAAATAATCATTTTATTTAGAGAGATATCAAGTTAAGCACCATCTCTCATATGAAGCACTTTTAAGTTTTTAAAGTGATTGACATTTAAGCACTTTGTAACACTTGAAACTCCAACTATCACTGACTGCTTTTGTTTTATGCGATCTAATTATCTGATCCAATCTTATCCTATCTAATCTATATTGCTGTCTTTGTGGATAAAAATAACATCATGCCTGTCAGAAGCTAAAGCAAAAAGCAATTACATACAACTGATGTTAAATAATAAATTCGATCTGAAATCTACTTTTATTAAATATCTAAGTTTATCTCTTTCTAATAATCAAATGATGATTTTATGGAATTGTATTAAAGAGTGAATTTACACAATAAAATCTGTTATGGGCTTGTGAAAAATCATGACATTCAAGAATAGAATGATTGACAGTAAAATTTTCATTACAAGCTACACAAAAACGGGAATTGTCATTCGTGAGTAGATAAGAGTGGGTAATTTTAGTGTGTCAAATTCGGCATCGAAGAAGAACTGTTTGATCATGGCGGTTTGACAGAGATAGAGATGGTGACACATCAAGAGATGGGTTTATATTGTAAAGTTTATTAGAAACGGCATTGTCCCAATTTGCTTTCCATTCAGATGATAGGAGTTTAAGTATACCCGGTCTAAAATCACAAGCAGGTAACAATAAGTCAAGTTTTTGAAAATTTAATGATTGTTTAGCTTAAGCATCTCCTTTTTCATTTCTTCGTATACCTACATGACTTGGAATCCAATATAATTAAACATATTTTATTTTTAGTATATCATGAAATCGTAAAATAAGTTTCTATATCATGATATAGTCAAATTGTTTATTTTTAATGGATATCAAGACAGAAAGCGAGTCAGAAAATATCACAAATTTATCGTGGGTATGCTGTTCTACGTATGACAATGCTAAATCGATAGCTTTTGCTTCAGCAGTTAAAATTTATGCATATCTGGTAACGTCACACTAGATGTAAAGTTATTTTCAAACACAGCCGCACCTACTTTGCAACCTTCTTTTGAACCGTCCGTATAAATATGTATAACATCTTCATGTTCTTCCTCAACTGCTGGAAACTTTTCTTTGAAATATTCAGGTGAATTTGATAAATTTTTAGCCCACCAGAGCGGAAGGCTCAGGGTGAGCTATTAGTATCAAAGGGGGATGCTCCGTCGTCCGTCGTCATGCGTCAACAATCCTCTCCTTCTCTGAAACTACTGGACAGATTTACTTAAAATTTGGTCTGAAGCATCCTTGTGACAGTCACATTTGAATTTGTTCTTGTCATTCCAATTGGCCCCTTTTAGAAGTTTCTAGGGCTAAAAATAGAAAAAATTTAAACATCTTCTTCTACAGAACTAATGGATGGATGATCACTAAACTTTGTCTGTAGCAATCTTAGATAGTCTTTTATCAAGTTTGCTCATATTAATTTTAGCTGAAAATAGAAATACCTTTAAACGTCTGTTTCTATAGAACCAATTGATGGACGATCACCAAACTTTTTCTGTAGCACTCTTTGGAAGTCTTTTATCAAGTTTGCTTATATTAATTTCATTG